GCAGAGAAGCTGTTGTTCATTGTTGTGTACTCTGGCAGGCGTACTCAGTTGACAAAAAGGTGCAGACAGAAGCAGTACCAGGTCAGAATCTTATAGACCCTCACCATTTTTTACTTGAAGTTTAACAGTTTTTTAAACATAAATACTGCTCAGATTTTTATATTTTTGGTCAGTTTTCAGAGGACAGAAATAGTTATTTCTGTCCATTTTTTACAGCCCTATAGTTGGGTGTGAGAGCAAGAATTTATCACTTTCTTCATTTGACCATAATATGTATATCCATGCTTCTGAAACTACTCCAAGGAGTTGCTGTGAAATGAAAATAAGACAATATTTAATAAGTACTAGACATAATATAAATCTTAAGAAATACAAATAGGTTGACTGCATATAGTTAGGTGACTTGTGTCCTCCAAAAACGTGTTGAGTAAAGGGTGAGTAGGGCTGAAATTCAGCTCATGCTCTACTTGTCAAGCCGAGAAATCTAGCACTGGGTTTCTTCTATGTATCCACCTGGAAAAGACTGGGGTTTGTTTATTTTTTGTGTTTTCTTATTCATACAAAGATACCTAGTTGTGTTACTGAGTTCTGGCTCATGTTTCTTTCCTTCTCTCACACCCTCCTCCCTTTCCTTGGTTTAGGCTAAATCCTTTATCTAGAGCTGGTCCAGCAGTCACATGAATAGTCTTTATTAATTCCGTGCCCTTTGGTTGTTTCTCCTCTATTTTCATTTTATTGTTTTCTTTTAATTTTCCAAAGTAAATGGGCTCAATGACTTTACTCATACATTTATCAAAGCATGAATTAAAAAAGAAGTTCAAGTTGCTGCTGCTGCTTGTAGAGGCATTGGGAGGAGTATTGCTAATTATTTTTCTGTCAGAAATCCAGTTTCTAAATTATTTTTATAGACACAGCATCCCTTCAAGACCTTTTTTTTTTAAAAAAACTGCATCTGACACCTGATTGCTTACTGAAGGACTACTGATTACCAGGATATACTGAGCTTGTCTTGTCTTCACCTTCAGGAACACAGAACTCAATAGATTCAGCTATCTTTTTAAATATTATTTTTGTCCTGCAGGGTATTTTTGATTATTTCTTCATTCTCATAGGCTCCTGAAATTAGCTTGCCTTTGTTATCAATTTTGGCACCTAGGCTTGTTTCTCTAGCAAACAATGTTTCTTCATTTTATGTGTAGCACAAAAAAGGCCAACAGGTGTCTAAATTTTGATTTATTATTGGGTAAGCCCATTTAGCTTGTATGTCAGCCAATCCTACCTATTATGCTTCCAGATTTGTAATTGGGAAGGATGCCTTAGGTTTTTGAAGGAAGAATGGTTGAAGAGGGAAGAGGAACAGAAGACACAGGTCCAAGCATGAGTGCTAGCACTGGAGTGTATCCATTGAGGAGAGACATCTTTTACCAATTCTTCTAGCTAGCAAAAGCAGATTTTTTCTTTTTTAAAAATATAAAACAATTTCATTAAACCAAAAATCTTATAAAGTACCATATACTTTATGAATGTAGAAGGTAAGATTCAACAGACCCCAGTATATTGACAGAGTTGTACAACCACAACCACAATCAAACTTAGCTCATTTTTGCCATCCTGAATCAAAATACTCTACCTACTAATCATCATGTCCCAATCCATGCCCCCTAAATCTAGGTAATCATTGGGCTACTCTCTATCTTCACAGATTTTCCTACTCTGAGAACTTATTTTTCTTTCCCATGCTCACAAGGCTTTTTCTCATTCATACAATATAGTCTAGTGTGTTCCCAAGCACTGGCTCTTGTTTTCTTCCCTCTCTTCAAATTCTCCACCACTTTTCTGGTGTTGACCCAACGCAGTCACACAATTGCTCTTTATTAATCTCATGCTCATGAAGGGGCAGAGGAGAGAGCATAAAGCAAAAGATGACAAAGAGAAAGAAATGAAGTACTCATGAGAGGGCTGAACAGTTCTGAGTCATCTCCAAAGGACTGCCTAGCCGAAAAAATTCGGACATTTGCCTTCTCTAAAATGCTAGTCTCTGATGGCTCTATCTCCTTAATATTGTCAGTGTTCTTGACCTAGTTTATAGTTAAAAACTCCAAATAGACCATGATCTGTGTTAAGTATTCGAACATGAGAAAGATAGCAATGACTACACTGAGCTCTCTTGTGCTGGGCTCCCTGAGTGTACACTAATACAGAATAAAACTTCTAAGGTGGAAAAAATGATGTTTATAAATGAAGAAAAAAGAAAAATAATTCCTAGGAAAGGAGAAACATCTAATCTAAGGAAATATATTTTAATAATACTTTATATGTGTGTAGCCCAAGCAATATTGGAGATGAGGGGATTAAACAGAGGCACCCCAAGATGTTGTTACAGACATGAATTTAATGTTCTACTGTAGTGTCATGGCACTATACAACCAGAATAGCATTTTCATTTTAGGCACCTTGAAATAATTCCTTATTCCCGAAAAAATATTTCAACACCAAGAAGAAAATTGCCAAAAAAAATACAAATACAGGCTTGGGTACTAGAGACCAGAGACACAGGGAATTGTCACAGCACATATATAATCAGTGTTGCTAACAAGTGATCATAACATCTAGCATATTTCCAAATAATAACAGCTTCCATAAAAAAACCAACTAGGAAAGACATGATACCCAACAAACGCACTTTGATCAAACATGACTATGAGAAAGTACTAAGATTCCTAAAGAAGTAGAAGGAATCAAAAATAGATCATAATGCTTTAAAAATTAATAACCTAGGGCCGGGGATTTAGCTCAGTGGTTCTGCCGCCTGCTGCGCAAGCACAAGGACCCAAGTTTGATCCCTGGTACCAAAGAAAAAGAAAAAAAAATTAATAAGCTAGACCACACAACCTTGGCAACCCAGGTCAAAGGTTCTCACCAATCTCTTCGCCGGGAGTGCTGGACACCAAGATCTGAACCCACACACGTTCTTTGGAGTGCACTGCAATTTCATTTGTAAACACACATGGTTACTATAGGAGTTCAGGATCATTCTTAGAATGCTATCTTTGTCGTGTCCAGAAAGTTCTGAGTTTAAAAGCACCTGTATGTATGTTATGCATGGATATCTGGACTGAGTAAGCCTCCTATCTTTAGAGCGAAGATTTTTAAACAAGACAGAGCAGAACCTCTTGTTCTAGGCTGCCATGGTTGAGGTGACTCAGGCTTAGCCACATGTTTCTCTCCGAGGTCATTTTCCTGTTTACAGAATAATCTCTTGTGCCTTATTTTGACTGATTTTTATAACAAGTCAGAAAAGTCAAAGAGGTAAAAAGACCACCAGATCTCTCTTCAACTTAAACTAAACCAGTTTTTACTCTGTCTTATATGAGTAAAGATTATCTCTCCACTCCAAGAGGAATTATACTGTAGTTATCCCCTTCAAGAGCACATCTCTTCAGGCATAAATTCAGAGTGGGTTCGTGGCTTTTCTTAAACGGAGTCCATATTTCTTTAGGATGTCTCTTATCTGAACCATTGGATATATACAAATCAATGAGGCTAAGAAATCCATATAACACTAATAAAGGCTTTGTGATAAGAGGAAGTAAGGAAATAAGACAGGTATGCCTACTTTTATGGATTATCTGAGCTCATCCATTCAATTCCCCGATTTAGGAAGTAAGGCTGGCCTACCACTCCAGACTTTCAGAACAGGGGCCCTTCTGTTTCTAAAAAGGCAAGGTGTATGTATGTGTGTGTGGTGGGGGGATTTCTGTGAACATCTTTGCTGATTTCAGTAACATAATTCCATTTTCTCACACTGACTGAATCACCTTAGCCTGGATGGTGACCTTTATGCTAGGGCCACACCCTTCATTCTGGCAATCTGCAAAGAAGACACAGGTGACAGTGGATTTCCAAGACACTGAAGTTACCAGACAGAAGAGTGGACATAATTTGGCTGTGTCATAGGACAGAGAATTATCCCAGCATCACTGGCATATGTGCAGTGCCCTGGATGCACTGCCAGAGATCTAGTGATGATGAGTCTTCTGTAGGAGTAACCTGAGAAACACTGCATTTTAGCCAGTCTTAATGTAAAGAAATGGAAAGAACATGAGATTCAGTATTTAAATACTTAATTCAAGAGCCGACTCTCCCATATACCAGCTTTTATAGGTTTGAGCCACATAGTTCATCTGCTTTGAATTATAAGAAATATTTAATGAATGTCTGTTTTCTGTTGGACATTGTATTAGGCCCTTGGAACATTGCAGTGAATAAGAGAGACCCAGTTTCCTTTCTTGGAAGCTTACTATTAGCCTCAGTTTGCCAACTTATGGTTGGGGACACTGATGATACCCATCTTGCTGTGCTGTGAGAACCAAACACGAATGTGGATGGAAAGCACTTTGAAGTCTGTAGCTCTTCCCAGTTTCACTTGGGCTAGTTTCTGAACCAGTCAACAGCCCATCCAGGCCCTGTATGTGTGGTTTCATATCCTCCTTCAACTCTCCCAGAAAGGAGCTTCAAGAAACTGTGCCTTGTGTAGTTGCTACAACTTCCTTTAGGCTCCTTCCACAGGCAAAGTGTAGCCTCATCTCAGTCACACCATTTCTAAGCAATATGCCTTGTCCGGGCCCCTCCCTGGGGAGCTTTTGGTCCATAAGCATTTGCTTATGTCCACCTTTGACTCTCCTGCTTCTGGGTGTTTTTTTCTGTTTCTGACTCCCGAAGAGGTCTACTCTATTCAGAGTAGAGGGGACAGGGTGACTCTGTGAGCAATAACCCAATGGGCACCTGTAGTAAGTCAAGTCAGTTTGCGCTAAGGTCCAGTCAGTTTTCTGAGTGTGGCCATTTCTTGAATGGTGTCCTTTATAAGTTCTGGCCCTGGTCACAAGAGCATAGCACTCTTCATCCTTCCTTACTCAAAAGTAGCTTTATTTATTTCCATTAATGTTGCAAAAAAAATATCAGAAACTCTAGCATAAAATAACACAAATCTCTGATTTCACAGGCTGAAGATCAGAAGATTACCCTTCCAGGATAGAACAATCCTTCTTTTCTTTCCTTGCTTCTAGCGCTTCCTGCATTCCTTTTCTCATGGCCTCTCCCTCCATCTTCAAACCAGAAGTGTGGCATCTTAGCATCTTCAACTCTCTCTCTCTCTTTCCCCTCCCCCTTCTCTCTCTCTCCTACCCCCTCTCTCTTTCTGTCTCCCCTCAGACTTCTGCTTCCGCCTTCACATTCCTCCTCTGATTATTACTACCCTACTTCCTTCTTTCACTGATCAGGACCTCTGTGAATGCTTTTGGTCAATCTGGATAATCCAGGATAATCCCAACTGCAAAGTTTTCTTGCTGTGCAAGGTAAAATATGCCCAGGTTCTAGGGAGAAAGAATGTGTGTGTGTGTGCTTGCGTGCGTGTGTGTGTGTGTGTGTGTGTGTGTGTGTGATCTGCTCACCATACTAGTCTTGAGCCTGGAGAATCTGACATGACAAGTTTGGCTGCTCTAATGGTTCTGGGGGTTCCCCTTTTCTCCCTCTAGGGTGCCACATGACTTTCTAGAGCCAGTGCTCCCATCTTGCGCTATGGTTTCATGGTTGGCCTGAAGAACCAGACTGTCGCAGAGGCTGAACAGCGAATACGACCAAAACTTGGCGAGAGGTATCTCTCATCTGGTAGGATTTCTGTGCCTCACAGATTTTTGTGCCAGGTGTTTGGCTATTGTTTTGGTTGGATATGCCTAACCCCTGTCTTATATCAGAATAGGATATGGCTTTATTGACATCTAGTCTCAGACTTTTATGTTACAGATGGAAAACTTAAGTCCCACAGAGTAAAGCAAAGTCCCTAATGGCAGAGCTGGGCCTAGAGTCCAGGCTCCTCCATCCCCCAGCTCCTATCCTTCTTTCCTTACACTACAGGTCTACTACCTCATGGTTATAAGGTTCAGTTAAGAAGGTATATGATGTTGACTAGACATTCATAATCTTCCCTTCCCCTCCAATGAAGAGGCTTTAGAAGGCAAAGTAGGCAACTCCCTGGGAGGGGCCAGTCCTGATAGGCAGGTAAGCAATACTTCACCAGAAAACCCTCCTCCTGAAGCAAGCATGCCAGCTCATTGAGGCAGGTCCCGCTCTGAAGTTCAGTCTCCAGCTGCTAGGCTGGTACCAGCAACACATTAGGATGCATCATAAATCACAGCTTGTTGATATGATTGCTGAAAGGTCAGGATCTAAGGCCCATGGTCATTGCTCAGGAGATGAGGGACACATTTCTGCATACAGAACCAGCAAACTGATGTGGCCTTTCATAGTGTGTTCGAGAAGAGGGGCAGGGACAAGAGGCTACACATCTACCAAGTGACTTGAGTTTGATGAAGAGTCATGCTTAAATGAAAAGGTATGATCACCCAAAGCACTTCTGGTAAATTTGCAAGGGCAAGGATTAAAATAAAATAGGATGGATACATGCGATTCCTCCTGCAATGCTGCACTTAGTCCCTGGGTATATTTCTGAAACCCACTGCTCATTTATTTCCACAATTAGCCTTTCCGAGCCTTCAGAGAAGCCAAGTAGAAGCAGATGGGGGTGGGAATCTCTGGATTTGTGAACAGATGTCAACTGCCAATGCATTGTACACTATACAGGTAGGGAGAAAGACTACCTGCTTGGCTGTATGCTTGTCTGCTTCATCCTAGCAGTATTTCACCAGCATTTTTGATTGTTGTGGCACAAAACAGTAAACATTTTTCTCCAAAAATCCAAGACAATTCACTATAATACTGATCCCCTTGCATTTCAACACGACATGCTTATTTTATAAAAATAATGCATTTCATGGGCTCAAACTTGGAAAATATCAAAGCACATGGAGGAAATGAAAATCACTGATCATTCATGTAGAAATAATTCTGCTACTATGCTGGTCTATTTCCTTCTAAGCTTTCTGTTTATTTAAATCCTTAATTTGAATTAGAAATGTTTTGCAATATTCACAATATAAGTTTCTTACTTGTGTGAAAGAAATTGTATAATTAGCTCATTCTCTATAAGTGTATAAGGATATATTTGATTTTTCTCTCTTCATCTTGTGTCCAGTAACCTAGACGAACTCATTTATTTATTTTTTAGTGTGTGATTGCTGTACATGAAGTTTATACCCCTCTCAAGGAGTAGATACATGTATTAACACATCTTGATTCCTTTTTTTCCCTTTGCCCCTCCACCCACCTCCTGTCTCTAAATTCCTTGTCCCCATTTTCATTATTGTTGTTATTATTCATACTTTTAGTTCATGTTTTCAATGAATGTTTACATTAATTTTGAGTATTTGATATGAGTATTTTACACATCTTAAATTTTTTTGCTTTCTGTTCCCCTCTTCACATTCCCTCACTCTCAGTCCCCTGGATCCCTCCCCATATGTAAAAGATATATCACCCTGTGTCCTTCAACCACTCCTTCGTTTTGATTTTTATTGACTTAAATGAGCAATACCATGTGGTATTTAAATACATGTGTCTGATTTATTTCACTTAACATATTTTCCAGATGTACCCATTTTCCCAGAAATGTCTCAACTTTATCCTTCTTTATAGCTGAGTAGTAGTCCATCATGTATGGATACCACATTTTTTAAAATCCATTTATCTGTTCATGGCTGATTTGCTCCTTTATAAACATTGGTCTGTATGTATCACTGCAATATGATGTCGTTAGCTTTTTGGGGAAGATACCTAGAAGGGGAATTGCTGCCTCAAATGGAATTTCTAATTTTAGTCCTTTGAAAAATCTTAATACTGATTTCCACAATGGCTGTACTAGTTTACACTCCCACCAACAGTGAAGGAGGGTTCCTTTTTCACCACAGCCATGCCAGCATTTGTTATTGCTTGATTTCTTGATCACTGCCATTATTTGTGGTGTAATATGAATCTTAGTACTGTCTTAATTTGCATTTCTCTAATGGTCAAGATGTTGAACATTTTTTCATATGTTTATTGATCATTGGTACTTCTGAGAAGTATCTACTTATTTCATTGCACATTTTTTGATTGGATCTTCTAGTTTAGATGGTATAATATTTTTGAGTTCTTTATATATTCTAGATATTAGTCCTCTATCTGAGGAATAGCTGGCAAAATTTTTCCCATTCTGTAGGTTTTTCCTTATGAACATATATAGTTTTTTCTTGTATAAAACAACTTCTCTTTCACACATTATTTAATCTGCTTTTAAGAAACCAATTAATAGACCTTAAATACTTTGTTATATTACATATTTTACACAGAACATACGTAATAGCCGCATATTTTATATATGCTACATCTTATTGAACTGTTATTTTGGGCCATTTGAAACATTTCTAAAATTTTCACCATCATAAATAAACTGTATCAAGATAGTTTTTTAAATGATTCAGTAGGAAATAATTCAGGAGGAAATGATTTGGTTGCAGTCCTATATTTGAGGTATGTCAGTTGAAATGGAAATCTGTAGAGAACAATATCTTTTGGCTTTTGAGGGTTAGTATTATTAGTAGCACTTGGCCCAGAAGTTATTTCTTTCCTCTCTAAATCTATCAATTCCAAGAATAGAGACTGAGTTTTGAAACTTAAGAGAGATTACAGGAGCTAGACTCTTCCGTGAGGGCTTTTTGGGGAAGGGGTTCCTGACCAGAACTGCCCAGGTTATGAGCTGGGAGAACTTGCCCCAAGCGGGTCCCTAGAGGAGGGGGAAATGACAGAGACATCAGGAACTCTGGAGCCAGAGTCAGATGCTCAGTAAACTAGGAAGTCTCATGTCATTTATTGAGGACAGAAGCTCTGCAGTGGTCTTCAAAGTGTACCCATAATTATTATACAACTCAAAAATATTATTACACAACTCAAAAATAAGAAATTAAACTTTGGTGATAGTATTATGTGGAGATATATATATATATATCTCCACATATATATACACACCTATATATGATAGAAACATACATAGTGTATATTCAAAAATATTTTACTGATGGGGCATTCAATAAAATAAAAGTTTGAAGACAACAGTCCTAAAGTAGCAACTGGACACCGGTCTGAGAGAACAGCACAGGAAGGGAGTTGAGGGGGCTGGAATCTATGAATATTTAGCATGGACAGTTGCAATTTGGATCATCCAGCATGAAGCAAGTGAAAAGCAAGGAACATCATTCTGTCCAGAGAGAGAGAGAGAGAGAGAGAGAGAGAGAGAGAGAGAGAAGACAGAGTGACAGCAGAGAGGATCACCAGTCATTCAAATGACATTCTATTCCAGTTGCCTTAGCTCTCCTAATTGCCTTCAATCAAAACCCAGAACTATTTGCTAATTTTGCTTACACACACAAAGTGAAACGTGATTATTGACTCTCATTACACAGGTAAAATTCAGGGTTTCCTGTGCACTGTAAACACTGGACTCCGAGCTTGTACTAGCACGTTTCACCCAGCGGGTTAGGACCAAGGTGGTATTCTCAGGAAAAGCTCAGTGACTCTCCAGCCCCCATGTCCCTCCCATCTCCACCTTACTGACAGCCTGTCTTCATCCTTGAGGGTACCTGCTCCTCTTCCTTTTGTACCTGCTTTCCAGAAAGTTGCAAACCCATTCACATGTGAGCATCAATGCCTGGAAGAGGCTCAATCAATCAGCAAAAGAAGCTTGAAGGCAGAAACGGATGGCTTATGATAGGTTTCACTGTATAATGGAGGGAGTGCTGGGTAAACTTTCATCATATCACTTTTATATCAGCAACCCAAAGGGTCAAAAGCCAGAGCATGAGACTCAGAACCAACTCAGCTACCTAGCTGCAGCCTGCAGTGACTATGAATACAAAGAAGACTGTATCCTGAGAGAACTTTCCCAAGGCATCACTTACAGCTCAAAAGTTTGCCCAGGTTCCTGATACTCCTAGGATGGGGTCTATTTGAGAAGTGTTTATACAAATCTTTTAAGAACATTTCAAATCCCTGGGGAGGGGAAGGAGTTGAGGGAAGGATAAGAAATGCTGGTATTAATATAGGCTTCTCTGAACCTGCCTAACTAGACTCTTGATGGCTCTGAGAACTCACAGCCCACAAGTGCAGGGAGAAACATATAGGATCTACTTGCCAACCCAGCATGCAATGGGAAAATATCGAAGTGTCGTGGCCTCTAAAAGTTATGTCCAAACCTTAACTCCCAGTACCTGTGAAGATGACCTTATTGGAATAGGATTTGCACAGATGTAATTAAGGATACTAAGACAAAATCATGCTGAATTTAAGATAGGGTCTAAATCCAATGACATATTTCTCTATGTGAGGCAGATCTGAGACAAGGCTACAAGGAGAATACTTTGTGGCAATGGAGGCAAAGGTTAGAATGATACGTCTATAACCAAAGGAGCATTAAACATCGCTAGCAACCACAAGAAGCTAGAAGAGAGACAGGGAATGAATTCTTGTCCAGAAGGTACCAGTTTTGCCGACTCCTTGACTTCAAACTATTTGGCTTCCAGAGCTGGGAAAGAATATGTTTCTGGGTTTCTTTTAAGTTTGCTTGTATGCTGCAGCAGTGGACTGAAGGCTAAATAATCGCATTCTGGCATTGTAGTAATTTAGGCATGTGCTGAGGCATTCTTAGTTGTTCCAGGGCTCCAGGGGAATGTTTCTCAACATTTTGAAAACTAAATCATCTTGATGAACAGAGAAGTCTCAGTAGCCATGCTCCATCAAGGTCCTTCCCCCAAAATAAAACAAGGCAAAAACCTGAGGATCAGTGCCCTGAAGGAACTGAGTTGAAGATTGCAAAGGTCTTCACAATTGAGTCTAAACCCATTCTTCCTGTGTATGCATAAGAGTGAGCAACTAGGAAGGCAGCTGTTAGGAGGGACTGATAATGTGTTATCCATTTTTAAACCAGGGTTCATGCTAGAGTTCAAAACCTTGTCTTGCTGGAGGAAGAAAAATGTGTCCCTTTGACCACATTCTAAAACATAGGAAGTAGCAGACATCAAATATGCCCATGGCACTTCTTAAAAAAGTCACAGAATTGCCTCAACCTGATGCTTCCTTGAGATTTTATTAATTTATAAAATTGTGTTCCATCAAAATGATCACTTTTTTTCTTTTTTCTTTTTTTTTTTTTTTGTGGTACCGGGGATTGAACTCGGGTCCTTGCCCTTGCAAGGCAGGCAGCGTAACCACTGAGCTAAATCCCAGGCAAAATAATCATTTTTTTTATCATCTTGCCACTCTGAATTATATGTCCCTTATTATTCTCAGCTACAGAAGCCATAAATTCAAAGCATTCAAAATTTATACTCTTAACAGTTCATCATCTATATGACTAGTATTATCTTTCTGCCTTTTTCTGGCCCTTCTTTATCCCACGACAAGAAATACTGTAATAGTCAAAATACTATCCATCAGTGAATGTTCAGTTACAGAAAAATACAACAGTGAATCTAGTATCCTCCTCATCTCCATTATAAGCATATTTTCTCCCAATGACAGAGAGACTGAGATTCTAAAAAGTGGGGCACTGGGGTTGGAAGGTGGATCCTTGTTTTGCAACTGTGCAGACCGGGCATGTCATTTTCTCTCTCAGTATCCTTACCTCTTTGCCTGAAAAGCAAGGACTATTACAATAGCAGCTTGCTCAGTGAGGAATGATCCTACTTCAGGGAATAAGTAGTGATGTAATGAATTGATCCACAAAGTGATGACAGACCCATTACTGGATGTTTTGAACACCTCTTAGTGTCGTAGTAGAAGCAGTCCCTGCCATAGTTGATTCTTTTGTTTCCATGACTGGTCAATACTTTCTGAGTACAGATCTTTTCATTAGTTTTCACAAAAAATAAGCGTATGTTTCTGACTGCGGGTGATTCCCCCTAGTTATACTGGAATGTGCTTGTTCACTAAAACGCTTCATAAAGAAGACTACAGTAGTTTTTGCTATGATTGTTAACATCCCTGTCCATAGGGATGCTACACACTACCTGATGGTAGGAGTATGCTACTCAGAGAGATGACAGTTGATGCTTATTTAAAAATGGGTATTCCAATCTGAGCTGACTCATCTAATGAGAAAAGGTCTGCACACAGGGCATGCACTGACCGATGGGATCAAGCCGCATAAAATCATAAAGGTGTCAATACGTTTCCACACTAAGGAACACTGAACATTTATTCTTACCTCCCTCCCTTTCTCTCCCTCTTCTTGTCTTCTCCCAGCACTCAATGTGACACACAGATGCCGGAGATCACAAGGTGGAAGATGAGGAAGGAGCAGATCAGAGAATGGCAATGTGCACTTTATTGGAACTTTTAAAGATTTTTCAAAGCACCAACTGTCAAATTTGTAATATCCAACTCCACAAAGTATATGGAATTCCCCAAAACACACGTGTCACTTCCCTCCCTCTTGATCTCACTAAAATGGGATCACAATCAATCTCTAGAATATAAATGTCATTAAAATCTACAATGACCAAAAATATATGTTTCTAGGTGTTTGGTATTCAAATTCAGAGATATCCCTAGGGGTGGCCGAATAGAAATAAATCTGGAAGGATGTCCCTGGCACCAGTGCAAGAATAGCTATAACTCAGAATCACCTGGGTGACTTATAAAATTGTTTAAAAACCTCTCAAGGTAATTGAAATAGCAATAAGATACTGTGTTTTTTCTAACAGTTGATAAAAATGACAATACGAGTGATTGGCAAGAACATAAAGTCATGGGAAGGAACACTAATACATTAATGATGGAAGAATATAATATAAATCAGTGTTCCCAGTCTGAAAATAGATTGACAGTACCTAATGAGACAGCGAAAGCACCAACCCTGCCATCAGTAATCCCTCTGTTAGTTACATGCTCTAGAGCAACTCTGGGACATGTGTACCAAGACAAAACCACTCACAGTAGTGTTTATAATTGGAGAAACCAGGAAACAACCCAAATAATCAATGACAGAAAAAGACAGAACTGTAGTATTTTTATACAATGGATTCAATATGATACCAAAAAAATGAACCATGGCTTGTCTGAAAAGGGAAAAATCGCAAAAGAACGGTTTGATTTCATTTATATTTTAAAAGTCCCAAATATGAAAATCTAATCAACATGATGTTTGGGACTATATACCTAGGCCATAAAGAAAGGCAGATGAATCATTAGAACAAATGCAGGATAGTGGCTGTCTCTGAGGAGGGGGAGAAGTCTGTGATGCAGGGGGAAGACAAAGGGACGGACAGTATTCAGATTCTTATGCTTGGTGAGAAGAACAGAGATGGTAGTTTTATTGTAATCTTTAACCTGTGTACGCATGTTCTATTTGGTGTTTGGACATGCTAGAATTCATAATGAATTTTAAAATATGCAAATTCCTAGGCTCCATCTCTAATCTGTTAAATTGAAATCTTAGACTATGGGGCCTGAGTATTTTTCATAACTTTTTTAGGAGATTTGGATGCATTAAGAGCCACTCACTCCCCTTGCCCCACACACACATCCAAACAATATATATCAGTATCCAAGTGAAAGTAGTTTTAAAATATAAATCGACATTAGGCAATCTCAAGAGAGTCATAAAAACAGAAAAACTCGGTTCAGGAGGATGTATAGAAAGGAAAGGTGTCTGGTAGTTATGTTGTCACGGCAAGGTCCAAGGCTGATGTAGAATATAAAGCTGGAGAATTAATTATTTCTATGTCACCTCCACCAGCTTACCTGAGCCCTGCTTTTGTTAAGCTCTTGAGTTACATGAGCCTGAGATGATCACCCTCAGGTGCTCAGCCACAGAGCAGGCTCTGGCCATCATTTCTGCTACGAAGATGGAAACATGATGTGGTAGAAAGTTTCCTCATCTGAGATTCATCACAACAGACATTTCACCCTGGGCGCACGAGAATGGTCTATCTGTTCTTAGTTCAGCCAGTCCCCTTCTCAGAGGCCCAGCTTTCTCATCTGCCCTTCTTTATTCAAACCCAATGCAATAGGATAGGTAGAAGCACTTTGTAAACTGTAAGTGCTACTCTGAATGTCTGGTAAGCTCAGTACCGTATCAATTAGTGTTTCTTCCCCCAAACCAGAAATGCAGGCTGTCAATTTGGGCTTAGCAGAATTTTCTGAATCCAAGGAATTGAGAGCCCTAAGGTTTGGATTGGGGAGACCTGAAGGCTGGAGTAGAGCTTAGAACCTCTACAGCTCTCTCTCTCTAAAACCTCTACAAATACATAACAAGTTCATTCCGAATCTACCTTGTTCAGATCCGTATTAATTCAGAAGGGGATGTTCATAAACAGCTCAGAACTATTGGAAGCACTATGCAAAATAAACATGCAGCCTGAATATTCATGAGTAGCTTTGAAAGAAACTTTAACCCAGTTTGCTTTACCCTCCAAATTAAGAGTGCCAGGTTTAGGAAAATAAAGATGTAGGACACTCAATCACATTTGAAGTTCTTAGTATAAGTGGGATAGTTTTTACTATAAATATATTCTAACAATTGCATGAGATACACTTATACTGAAAATCATTTGTTGTTCACCTGAAATTCAAATTTAATCAGTTATCTTGTATTTTATTTGACAACCTCATAACAAACTGACAAAGAGATAAGCATATTTTTCTCTATCTTACCTTCGGAAAATCTGCATGGAAGAGAGTTATGAAATCCTATGTTAAAGGGGAAAGAGTTGGGGTGACCTTGTCATTAGTCTTAAATAGTCCTCTTCCTTACATGGCCCAAGAAGCTATGGTGAGACATACATACTAAAAATAGGTTTCAAGGGAAACAGGACAGACTTATGGAAAAGTCGCATCATTTCAAACAGAAAAAGAACACCCCAGCCTAGTGCTAGCCCATCCACGAGACTTTCCAACAGCCTCTACCTTACCTCTGGGCATCTCCTTAGAACGTTCTGCCTCAGGTCCATCCAACAAGTCCATCTGGGAGGCCTCCTCAGAGGGCACACGGCGCCAGGACCAGCTCTGGTTCCCAAGGTCATGCAGTGGAGGAGAATATTCCAGCTCACAGGGGAAGTCAAAGCTACACTCCAAACCTGCAATGACAGCTGAGGGTTAGTGGAACACAGTGTTTCCCAAATGTGGCCCCTTCACTCCAGGAAATTGGCCTTAATCTCACCCACAACCTTCATCCTGTCTAGGGAGGTGAGTTGTCAATTCCATAGGTGACCGGGCTCTACACTGAAACAAAGGGGACTAAGAGAAAAAACGCAGCCTTCCTGTAACTCACACTTTGAGAGGGGTCCTCAGAGGAGGTTCGCAAACTAGAGACTAACAGACTGGACAGTGAGAAGTGCTGTGCGCCGTGGGCTGCCTGGTGATGGGAGAGGGCCTGGAGGTCACGTGAGTAGGGTGTGCCTGAGCAACCAGTTAGATTTCACTCTATGTCTGGATCTGAACTGTATAGGTGGGTGATGCCAGGTGAAAAAAAAGTAAACTGGCCCTCGATTTCCTCACCTGTCCATTAGGGATGATAATATCTACTTGAGTTTGACATGAGAGCTGGTAGTAAAATGTCATCTACACATAGTTGGTACCCAGTAGAGAAGCTAACGAGGCTGCCCTAAGAAATGGGTTAAAACGAATGCAAGTTATGCACACAGCCCTGTGCTACCAGCCCTGTAATGCACCCTACTATCTCCCTGCCAGTGAAGAAGACCAAGGCCATGGGAATAAATCAGGGTTCACTCTGTCTTGGAGAAGGACTGGGGAAGGTCACTGGGTTAGGGGAGTCAGAGAAAGGCAGGAAGACAGCCATGCTCTGGGACATTTATGATCTTTCTGTGAGTTTCATGGGAGCAAATCATCCTATCGTCACTGTCTCCACATGGGGCTCACTTTTGGGGTACCCATACCCCTCGGCTTCTCTTTGCCCCTCCTTACTATGACCCAAAGCAGCTGAAGTACTTTGCACATAGTTGCCTCTCAAAGCTTACAGATGGATTAACAGAAGATGCGGCAAAATGCAAATCATTCAGCCACCTCCTACTTCATCCTTCCCTTAAACTGTAGGGCTATGAAAACAGAGATAATGTGATACGAAGGACAGAATGTTGGACAAGCAATATGGGAAATTTGGTTTGGGTCCAGGCTAGTCACTTCCCATGTGTACATTTTATTTTTCTCAAGTGTAAAACAAAGGGCTTCTAGATGAGATGATTTGGGAAACAAAAGCACCTGGTGAAAACTGGGCTCTGCTCCAGCTTTGCCACTGATTTTCTGGTGACCTTCAATAAGTCACTTAACACTTCTGGGTCTCGAGTTCCTCAAACAGAAAGTCTAGACCAGATGTTTTCTACAGTTCCTTCTCTATTTAACTTTTTTAAGATTGCAAAGTCCTTGCTCTCATCAGGGTTTTAGCTAATTTGATAAATCAATCTATGTGGTAACACTGTACTAATGGGTGCTAACTCCCAATTAGCATTTGTGCTTTTAAACAGCTGCTTCTGGGCCCGCCAGTTCCTCTGTCTCCAAGACAAGTCTGGTTTGGGGAATTTCAAAATGCAGCAGAGAAGTAGGGCTCGTTCTAGTGCAGGCAGCTGCTCCCTGACGGTCCTTTAATCACATCCATAGGCAGCTGGCCCTCCCTGGGAGTAGGAGTAAAATAATTCCCAGTGACACTAGCCACACCAGGTTAGAGAAGAAGGAAAAAAATCCTTCAATTATACTTCCATTAAGTATCTTTCTGCTTCTCAGCCAGTAGAGATTTATGTTCCAAGCTGCTCTCTAGGAGCTGCCATCCTTCTGGTCCTAAGGTTAATACCACTCGCCCTTTCACAAGTCATACAATTCACCTTTATAATGGCAAGCTGAAATGGGTAGATCTTGCCTTGTTTGAGTTGATGTGCCATCGCTGCCTACGTAGTTCATCGGCCCAGGAGATTCTACCTGCCCCTGGAGGCTGCACTGCTACTATGTACGCCGCTGATGTTCAAGCAATCTGAACTTGCTTGCAAGAACGTGGTTTTGACAGCAGAATGCAAAGAGAAAATTCATCCTACACTTTGTACTTTGCAACATCAAAAGGACTTTCAAAAGGAAATGTGGGTCCGGGAATTTAGCTCAGTGGTTCTGGTGCCAGCCCCACAAGCGCAAGGACCCCAGTTTGATCACCGGTACAAAAAAAAAAAAAAAAAAAAAAAGGAAATGTGTGGCCATAACATAAGGCTCCTCTGCGAATGGCCAAAAGGAGAGACGAATATGGGTGAAGAATCCTGTGAAGAGTGGTTATCAGCCGCTCCCACTTCATAATGATATCTACAGGTGCCTTTCTCAACTTCTGCAAGTTTCATCTGCAACTGTCTTGTATCTTGACAGTTCACCTCCAACCAAAGCTCTGCTTAGGACAGAACCAAATCAGGCACTGCCTGGCCAAGGTGTGCTACTGGACAAGCAGGCAACAGATGGTACAGTTCCAACACTAAGCATCACCAGTTCTTGCTCCTTTGAACTCTGTGGAATGTGATAATCGGCTGCGTTTGGGTCAGACCTTGCCTAGTGAAACAGACTGTGTAGCTGCCCTGGTTACCCAGTGAGTTTGTTTTAAAATTCCTGCTCCAAGGCATCTTCCCTTTAAGGGTCAAATCTGTACTCTCTTGTTTTAAAAGGAAATGGAGTTAACTTTGCTCATTTGGGTGAAACTGAATTGGGCTTTTCTACATTTTGATTTTAATTAATATTGAGAGGAAGTTGTTGTTTTTTTTTCTCCCAAGTTACCCTCTACTTTTTGGGCAACAATACCTGGGATTTGTCTTCTGCAACAACATCGGGTTAAGTTTCCTTTTCCTTGGGCCTTTTCTTTTTTTAAAAAAAAACTTTTATGAGTATATGTTTTTAGTAAATAATGATTACATTCATTGTAGGAAATTGATACATGTATATAACACATTTCAATTTTTTCTCCTTCACTGCACCCCTTTCACTTTGCCAGAATCAGATTCATTTATTTATCGTATAAGAACTTATAAAGTTAATTATCCTATATACAGATTAAAAACCATACTAACAGGCCAAAACCATATAAAACCCATAAGACAATTGTACTATGTCAAAGTACACTTTTAGAAACATTGTCTATGCTGAATTATAATAACTTTTTCTCTCTTTTTCCTATTAGCTGTCTTTTATTTTATACTATATTTATATGTTAAGTTCTTCAAATAAGAGAGACCATGTGATACTTATGCTTGTGTGTCTGATTTACTTCACTTAAAATTATGGTCTCAAGGTGCATCCATTTTCCTACAAATGACTCATTTATCCTTCCTTTATGGCTGAGTAGTACTCTATTGTATGTAAATACCACATTTTCTTTATCTATTCATCTGTCGATGGACATATAGGATGTTTCAAAGAGTTAGACTTAGGATGCTTCTTGAATCCCTCTGCCTAGCCCTCTTTTGACTTGTGGCCTGTGTAATACGGATTGTAGAATTTATATCCCCAAGGGATGGAGGGCTTCAGTGAAGTGCTCAGTCTTAAGCAACCTCCTGACAGAGAAGGGCACCGCTTAAGGGATGTGATGGGAAACACCATTCACTGAGCCTCTCTGGGTGTCTGCCAGGCAATGTGCTAGGAATGTTTCTTATCTCACCATATTGAATCTGTGGAACAGCACTGAGAAGTGGATGATGTTTTCTTCTCTACAGATGAGGAAACCAAGGCTCAGAAAGTTTATTTCCCAAAGATTGAAGAAAGGACTATTCCAAGGCAGAGGCAGAATGAGACCTAGGAATGGATAATGCTGCAGATCCAATGTTTTTCATCACTCTTCCATAGCTTCAGAATCTCAATCCAGGCCCAAAGAATAAGTCAAATAATGAATGGAAAACCTATAAAAAGTTTTATTTTGGCTATTCGTAGATCCAAGGTATGCAAAATTTGCATATCTGCAAAGGCTTCTGTGTTTTCCCAGTATCAGGCCCATTTGCAAAGAAAGTGTGACCTTTAGAAGGACCCAGCAATCTTAATCTTACTGCATATTACCCACTTCAGTCCAGAAGAATCTGACCATCAAGAAACAACAATTAGAAAAAGAAAATTATTATGTGTTGACAAAAATGTAAAAGTAAGGAAAGAAGAAAGGAAAGAAGGAAGGAAAAGGAAGGAAGGTCAGGGAGAAGAGGAGAGGAGAGGAGAGGAGAGGAGAGAAGAGGAGAGGAGAAACATTTTTCAGAACCTGCTGATTATATAGTTGAACTCACTGCTACTGACCTTCTTGTCAATTCCACATTGGAAGAAACATAACTTAATGGACCCTTCTGGAAATGATCTCTCTACTTAGAGAAGTGCCAAGTGCTATGAAGGAAAGGCAGTAAAGATTTCAGTCCTACATCCAGCAGCTGAAGGACCCAGCAGGTCCATTCCCTTCTCTATGCTTCATCTTTTATATTTGAAAACTGGGAGGAACAGAGTGCTCACCCCATGGGGTGCTTTCTATCTCTGGAGTTCAGAACACTTTTACTCTTTCTGCCTCCACTGGGAAGCTGCATCCCTAAACAAGGGCTTGTCATCTCAGAAGACAAATAAACCATGGAAGGAAGCTGAACATACATCACGGTCAAAGGGCACTCAGTTTCCCTCCAGATTCTCAAAGAATCACAAAAGCCAAGTCAGACAAGTTATAGATGACTGTTTCAGGATGAGTGAGAGTGAGTGGGAGAGAAAGACATCTTATCAGTACCTACCTCGATCCTGAAACTTTCCAGGGTATGAGTCACAGAATCTAAATTTATTAACAGATAGTGCAAAACATTGTTTTAGTGCATAACACAGCCATTCAGGGGAATGTTTGGACACTGACAAGAGAGAGCCTGTGGCAACCTGCCCAAACAGATGGGCAGTCTTCTTATCAAACCTCTAGGCTGTGGAGGAGGTGGTAATGAGGACTCACCTAGAATACTTAGGAACCTGAGGGTGGAAATCTGGTCTCTAGGAAAGAACGATCCCACCAGTACCAAAGCAACCATGCCAGAGGCTGTGCCTAGGAAGCCAGTATCAGCTACTCAGGCAGTGACAGAGGCTTCACAGTCAAAGC